TTTTTTTTTTTTTTTTTTTTTTTTTTTTTTTTATTTTTGCTCTTTGTTTTATGTCATATTTTTTTCAAGCTTTGATTTACTAACTACATTTGTATTCCAAGATTTTAGAGGTTTTTTTTATCTCTGTTAACTTCTTATATATATAAATATAAATGCACGTAAAAATATATATTAATTTATGCCATTTGATGGATATTTTTAATAATTTTTTTTTTTTTTTTTTTTTTTTTTTTTTTTTAATGATTTTAAATCGATTTATCGTTTAATTAACTTCTCTTGTTTTAACGAGAAATTAATCTAGCTTTGTACTTCCCTTCCCCCCTCCTTCTCTTCACCTTCTCCTTTCCTTTTCTCCTTAAGTTTTATTTTGCGTACTAATAAAATGGAATTAATCGAATATTATTGGTTTGAATATGTCGTTTTTAACTAATAATAATAACTTTAGTAATTGAAGAGGAGAATAAATTTTTTTTCAATTCTAACATGTTTTTCTTTACTTTTTTTTTTTTTTTTTTTAATGCTGCTCACTGGATTTAGGGTTCCGGAAATATTTCGGATAAATTTGCGGTAATTAACGTGAGAGTCAACTAATTAAATTATTTATTAATGTATTCTCTGTCGTATGTTTAAATGTGTATATGTGTGAATGTTATATGCTTCTCACTTATTTATTTTACTTTGTGCTTAATCGCATAAAATTTTAAGTAGAATAATTTTTTTCTTTCCTTTGTAATCATATATTTTATATGTATCTGGCAATTTATTTAAAAAAATAAATTGCAAATTAATTTATTCATTTTAAGGATAATTTTTTAAATTTGAAGATTACAGAATTTGAGAAAGTAATATAATAGATAGATATTCTTCAGAATTAACATTGAGCTTATAAATTGCTTATTTTTGCGTTAATTATTTCGTAATAATTCGTGACAATTTCTTTTGTCTTGATTAAATAAAAGAAATTGTTAATTAATACAATTATGAACAATATCAGAATCGTTTTTCTGAAAACAATTATTTACAGTGTAATTCATATTAAATTTTATGTATATTGTTGCTTATTTTTTATTCATCGCAGCTTTATTTATTTTATTGCATATATGTTATAAATTTTTTTTTTAATTATATATTAATTAAAAATATAGAAATAATATTTATTATCTGTGTAGTAAATTTATGAATGTATATCATTTATAATTTTTCAATATTCATATTGTAAAACTATATAAAAAATATTTTTATATTTTTATAAATATCAATTAATAATAATTTTACAAATGAGAGACATATTTATTATTACGATTAATTCATGTCTTTGAAATTGAAATATTAATTTGACATGGAATTATAAAATAATATTTTTATTTAAAAAAATAATTATATTTCGTGTTGTGAAATAAATAAAAATATTTTATTTTAATTAATATAATTAATTTTTATGGTGATAGGGTGAATTGGAGCAACAACTTTTACAAGCAAATCCGATTTTAGAAGCTTTTGGAAATGCAAAAACAGTGAAAAATGACAACTCATCCCGATTTGTAAGTTTTACAAAATTTATTCTTTTTAAATATTATATTATTTTTCTCTTTTTATCTTCAATCAAGTTATTTTAAAATTTTTTACGTATTCATAATTTTCTTCGAGTTCTTCGAGATATTTAATTCGTGTAATTGCATTGATTCTAATTGTATCCTGTAGTTGCACAAATGAGCAATGCAACAAATTTATATTTTTATATTATAAAAAAAACTTTAAAAAATTGGAAAAAATTAATTTGTTTTTATGAAAATAAGTAATGATAATTTTAATGATAATCGAATATTTATTTCGAAACAGGGTAAATTTATACGTATAAACTTCGATGCTTCCGGTTACATTGCTGGTGCAAACATAGAAACGTATCTTCTAGAAAAGTCAAGAGCAATTCGACAAGCAAAAGATGAAAGAACTTTCCATATATTTTATCAACTTCTAGCTGGTGCCTCACCTGAACAAAAGAGTAAGTAGATTCTTTTATTTTAATATGTTGGTAAGCGTGCGTGATATTTGAATAAACTTTATCGTTTGGAACAATTTTGAAAATAAATTCTGATAAACGTTTTGAAATTGTGTCGTATATTCAATAAAAGTATAAGACTCGTTTCAACAAAATTATTAATACATGTGTATTATCATGTGTATCATCAGTTGCGTTACATAAATGTTCTCTGCGTGCTTAGACCAAGCCCAGATGGGACTTTATTACTATTCGGTACGAAGTGAATCGATATTCCCGCTTCGAGACTGAACGTTTCCGCCCATTATGCGTTGTATTCGTTAGGGATATTTTATTTTGATGTATTCGAATCACTATTCTTAAATGATTCAAACGATTAAGCCTATTCTTTCAGGATACGAACTACTTAAAACAACCTTCTTCATAGATGACTCAGCTATACTACCTGACTTGAAATTCAATTATTAAATGCGAAATGTGTGACCTATCATTTTTAAACATTGTTTAATAAGAATGAATCATTGTTATGAATGCATCAATTTTTCAATTCACAAAATTTTTAATATTTATATAATTAATAATTTTTAATATAAATAATTATAATAATTTAATTACATATCATCGAATAAATTTCTTTTAATATTTTTTTTTATGGTTAAAGAAAGAAAAAATCAAAATGAAAAAAAAAATACATATTTCTCAAAAATGTTTTATATTTCATTATTATATTAAATTAATCATAAATAATAATTGTCCCTTTTTTTTATATCTTAAAATTATTTTTTTAATTTTTTTAAAAAGAAGAAGAAAAAAATATAAAATAATATTTATGAAATTTCAGAGGAGTTTATCTTGGAAGATCCAAAACACTATCCATTCTTGTCCAATGGCGCATTACCAGTTCCAGGAGTAGACGATTCAGCTGAATTCTTCTCAACCGTAAAATCTATGCATATTATGGGCATGACAAATGAAGACTTTTCTTCGATTTTTCGTATTGTATCTGCGGTGATGCTTTTCGGTTCCATGCAATTCCGTCAAGAAAGAAACTCGGACCAAGCTACGTTACCGGATAATACTGTTGCTCAAAAAATTTCTCATTTGTTAGGTTTGAGCGTGACGGAAATGACGAAAGCATTCTTAAAACCAAGAATTAAAGTCGGTAGAGATTTTGTAACGAAAGCACAAACAAAAGAGCAAGTTGAATTTGCAGTAGAAGCAATTTCAAAAGCTTGCTATGAAAGAATGTTCAGATGGCTTGTGAACAGGATCAACAGATCATTGGATCGAACAAAAAGACAAGGAGCAAGTTTTATTGGTATCTTAGATATGGCCGGTTTTGAAATATTTGAATTAAACAGTTTTGAACAATTGTGTATTAATTATACTAATGAAAAATTACAACAATTATTCAATCATACCATGTTCATTTTGGAACAAGAAGAATATCAAAGAGAAGGAATTGAATGGAAATTTATTGATTTTGGATTAGATTTGCAACCAACTATTGACTTGATTGATAAACCAATGGGTATGTTTAAAAATTTGTATTTAATAAATTTAAACTTTTTTTTATTAATATAATATTTTTTATCTTTTGCTACAATAAATTCAATTATTAAATAAAAAAATTTTATTTTACAATAGGTATTATGGCATTGTTAGATGAAGAATGTTGGTTTCCCAAAGCAACAGATAAAACATTTGTTGAAAAATTAGTAGGTGCTCATAGTGTGCATCCAAAATTTATGAAAACAGATTTTAGAGGTGTTGCAGATTTTGCTATTATACATTATGCTGGAAAAGTTGATTATTCCGCAGCTAAATGGTTAATGAAAAATATGGATCCTTTGAATGAAAATGTTGTTAGCTTACTACAAAATTCACAAGATCCGTTCGTTTGTCATATTTGGAAAGATGCGGAAATTGTCGGAATGGCTCAACAAGCATTGACAGATACACAATTTGGTGCAAGAACAAGAAAAGGCATGTTTAGAACAGTTTCTCAATTATATAAAGAACAATTGGCAAAATTAATGATTACTCTAAGAAATACTAATCCCAATTTTGTGAGATGCATTATACCGAATCATGAAAAAAAAGCTGGAAAGATTGATGCACCATTGGTATTAGATCAACTGAGATGTAATGGAGTTTTAGAAGGAATTCGAATTTGTCGACAAGGATTTCCAAATAGAATACCATTTCAAGAATTCAGGCAGAGATACGAACTTTTAACACCAAATGCAATTCCTAAAGGGTTTATGGATGGAAAAAAAGCTTGCGAGAAGATGGTAAGAAAATGTAATCTTACATATTAAAATTTGATGTTAAAAAATCATTCTCTTAATAAAAACATAACATAATATTTATTATATTGATTTGAAATTTATATTTCAATCAATTATAAATGATGTGTAATTTTAAATGCAATTTATATATTATTCAATTGTTTTTATTGTATAAAATATATATTCCAAAATTTTATAAAATTTTTATTTCAGATTCAAGCTCTTGAACTTGACCCTAATCTTTACCGCGTTGGTCAATCAAAAATTTTCTTTCGTGCTGGAGTTTTAGCTCATCTTGAAGAAGAACGTGATTATAAAATTACTGACATAATTGTCAATTTTCAAGCATTCTGTCGTGGTTTCCTCGCTCGTAGAAATTATCAAAAACGTTTACAACAGTTAAATGCTATTAGAATTATCCAAAGAAATTGTGCTGCTTATTTAAAACTTAGAAATTGGCAATGGTGGCGTTTATATACTAAAGTAAAACCACTTTTGGAAGTAACAAAACAAGAAGAAAAATTAACTCAAAAAGAAGATGAATTAAAACAAGTACGAGATAAGTTAGAATTACAATTACATTCTGCACAAGAATATGAACGGAAATATCAACAAGCTATGGAAGAAAAAACTATGTTGGCAGAACAATTACAGGCTGAAGTTGAATTATGTGCAGAAGCAGAGGAAATGCGAGCAAGATTAGCAGCCAGAAAACAAGAACTGGAAGAAATTCTTCATGATTTAGAAACAAGAATTGAAGAAGAAGAAGAAAGAAGTGCTGGTTTAGCTCAAGAAAAAAAGAAGTTACAATTAAATATAAGTGATCTTGAAGAGCAATTAGAAGAAGAAGAAGCTGCTAGACAAAAATTACAGCTAGAAAAAGTACAATGTGATGCAAAAATTAAAAAACTTGAGGAAGATCTTGCACTTTCTGATGATACAAATCAAAAATTATTAAAAGAGAAAAAAATTCTTGAAGAAAGGGCAAATGATTTATCTCAGACACTTGCTGAAGAAGAAGAAAAAGCAAAACATTTATCAAAATTAAAAGCAAAACATGAAGCAACAATTGCAGATCTTGAAGAAAGGTTGTTGAAAGATCATCAACAAAGACAGGAAGTGGATAGATCAAAGAGAAAAATAGAAACTGAGGTATCAGATTTGAAAGAACAACTTGCAGAAAGGAAGACACAGGTATAATTTTTATAAATTATTTTTTTCTTTTTTTTTCAAAAAAAATTACTTATTTTTGGAAATAAAATTATACCAAAAAAAAATTTTTTAATTAATTTAATGTGAAGTAACAAATATATTTTCAAACAATTTATAATATGAACAATAAGAACGATAATGATAATAATTTTATTTTAATATTAATGAATTTTTTGTAGGTAGAAGAATTCCAATTGCAACTTGGCAAACGCGAAGAGGAATTAAATCAAATAATGGCAAAAATGGATGAAGAAGGTGCAGCTAAAGCTCAAGCGCAAAAGGCTCTTCGTGAATTAGAGTCTCAATTAGCTGAACTTCAAGAAGATTTAGAAGCTGAGAAAATTGCTAGAGGAAAAGCTGAAAAATTAAAACGAGATTTAAATGAGGAATTGGAAGCATTGAAAAATGAATTATTAGATTCTTTAGATACAACTGCTGCGCAACAAGAATTAAGAAGCAAACGAGAACAAGAATTAGCAACATTAAAAAAGAATTTAGAAGAAGAAACATCGATACATGAAGCAACGTTAGCAGATATGCGTCATAAACATACACAAGAATTAACTGCTTTAAATGAACAAATGGATGCATTGAAAAAAACTAAAACTGTTTTAGAAAAAGCAAAAGCAACATTAGAGGCAGAGAATGCTGATTTAGCTACAGAACTTAGATCTGTTAGTGCTAGTAGACAAGAATCAGATAGAAGAAGAAAGCAAGCAGAACAACAACTTGCTGAAATAAATGCAAAACTTGCAGAAGTGGAAAGAAATAGACAAGAATTGGTAGAAAGAGTAACAAAATTACAACAAGAATCTGAAAGTATTATGCAACAATTGGAAGCAGCAGAATTAAAAGCTTCTGCAGCTTTAAAAGCTTCAGCAACTTGTGAATCTCAATTTACTGAACTTCAGCAACAACTTGAGGAGGAAACTAGACAAAAATTAGCTTTAAGTTCAAAACTGAGAGCATTAGAAAGTGAAAAGGAAAGTCTACATGATCAATTAGAAGAAGAAGAAGAAGCAAAGAGAGCTTTAGATAAACAGGTATAATTTGTTGCTGATTTTTTTAAAAATTAAACATTAACTAATTTTCATTTTCATCTTATTTTATAATATGTATTTGTAATTATTACATATGTGTAAATATGTATATAATTTGTTATTAATATTTAGTTATTTTTTAATAAAATTATTTAAAGATTCTCTTTATTTATAATAGGTTCTGGGCTTAAATGTTCAGCTGGCTGAAGCAAAGAAAAGAGCTGAAGAGGAAGCTGAGGCCGCTGCAGCATTAGAAGAAGCAAGAAAAAGATGTATGAAAGATATTGAAGCACTTCAAAGACAAGTTGAAGAATTGCAAGCTGCTAATGATAAATTAGATAAATCAAAAAAGAAGATTCAAGCAGAAGTAGAAGATAGTATTATTGAACTCGAAGCGCAAAGAGCAAAGGTGCTGGAATTGGAAAAAAAGCAAAAAAATTTTGACAAGGTAATTATAAATATAGTCTTGGTCATTTATTGAAATTAATAAATTATAACTTTATATAATAATTCTTAATTTTATAAATTTCAATTGATTGTTTTTGACAAATGTTTACAAAAATAAATAAATTTATATTAGTATCTTATTTTATTAATAACGATAATTATTTATTCATTTTAATAAAATAATTATCATTATTTTTTGTTTTTATTTGAAATTAATTTGAAATTAATAGAATTATTACTTCTTTTTAATTATTAACAATAGTTTGAGGATTTTTCTGTGAGTTTTTCATATAATTATCATTATAATTAATGATTAATAATATTTAATGTAGATAATTTGATATTCAATAACATGTAAAAATTATGTATACTGAATCATTTTTCATCTATATAATATCTTATGGAATTATACACAAATTTTTAGTTATATACATATTATCTAAAAATTGTATTTATACTAATTGTACTAATTATTATGTATTAATAATATGTAATAATATATAATTTTAAATTATCATTTTCATAAAAAAAGATAAATTTATTAAAATATAAAAATACAATTATAAATATATTATAAATATTGTTTTTCTTAAAAATGAGTTACAATCCATAAGATATTAATGTAATTTCATTTATAACATTCATTTTAACAAGAATTTTATCAATTTGTAAAGTAATGATAAAATTAGCATAATTAGATTTAAAATTTTCCTTTCTCTTATTATTATTATTTTAAGGTGCTGGCCGAAGAAAAAGCGGTCTCCGAACAATATGCTGAGCAACGCGATGCTGCCGAACGTGAGGCTCGAGAAAAAGAAACTCGTGTCTTATCTTTAACTCGTGAACTTGATGAAATGAATGAAAAAGTTGAAGAACTTGAACGAATTCGTCGTGGTCTACAATCAGAACTCGATGAACTTGTAAATAATCAAGGAACAGCAGACAAAAATGTACATGAATTAGAAAAAGCAAAACGAGCTCTTGAATCCCAATTAGCGGAACAACGTTCTCAAGTAGAAGAACTAGAAGATGAATTACAGTTTACAGAAGATGCAAAATTGCGTTTAGAAGTAAATATGCAAGCTTTAAGAGCTCAATTCGAACGAGATTTACAAGCTAAAGAAGAACAGGCTGAAGAGAAACGAAGAGGATTAGTAAAGCAATTACGTGATCTTGAAGCAGAATTAGAGGATGAAAGAAAACAAAAAGCTGCTGCTATCGCACAACGTAAAAAGATGGAAGCAGATTATAAAGATATTGAACAACAATTGGAAATGCACAATAAAGTGAAAGAAGATGCATTAAAACAATTAAAAAAACTTCAAGCCCAAATAAAGGATTGTACTAGAGAAACCGAAGAAGCTAGAGCTGCTAGAGACGAATTGGCAGCAAGTGCTAAAGAAACTGAGAAAAAAGTAAAGAGCTTAGAAGCAGATTTGATGCAATTAACTGAAGATTTTGCTAGCAGTGAACGAGCTAGAAGAGCTGCTGAAAATGAAAGAGATGAATTACAAGAGGAACTCAATAATAATGCTAACAAGGGAACATTAATGTTAGATGAAAAACGTAGATTGGAAGCTAGAATAGCAACATTGGAAGAAGAATTGGAAGAAGAACAATCAAATGCTGAATTACTAATGGATAGAGCTAGAAAAGCTCAAATAACTATTGAGCAACTAACAAATGATTTAACAACTGAAAGATCAACTACACAAAAATTGGAATCGCACAAATTGTTATTAGAAAGACAAAATAAGGAATTGAAAGCGAAACTTACAGAATTGGAAACTGCTCAAAGAGCAAAAACCAAAGCAACCATTCAACAATTGGAATCAAAGATTAATAATCTTGATGAGCAATTAGAAACTGAAGCAAAAGAAAGATTTGCACAACAAAAGATTAATAGAAAATTGGAAAAAAAATTGAAAGAATTGAGTTTACAGTTAGAAGACGAAAGAAGAAATTCAGATCAATATAAGGAACAAGCAGAAAAAGTAAATGCTAGAATGAAAGCTTTAAAGAGACAGCTTGACGAAGCTGAAGAAGAAATTAGCAGGCATAAGGCAATGAAAAGGAAAGCGCAAAGAGAAATGGATGATATGCTTGAATCTCAAGAAGAACTAACCAGAGAAGTTGCAAATCTTAAAAATAAATTAAGGTAATAATAATTTTTATTTATATTATATTATATATTTATATATATATATATATTTATATTATTTTAAAAAAATCTTCATTTCATTCAATTTTTTTAGGTATTTATTTATTTTTTTTTTATTTTATTCTTTTTATATTTTGAATAGTAAACTATTTTCTTTTTTGAATTTAAATAAATATCTTTTAAATATAAATAAACTTCTAATAATTATAAAGGATTACTCAATATTGAAATAAAAAAATAAAATTTTATATAATTTATTTATTATAAAAAAATTTAAATTTAATAAAAAGTTTGAATTGTTTATCTTTAGCTTACATTATTGAAAATTAGTTTGAAAGTAAAAAATTACTATATATATTAAAATATTCAGGCGTCGAGGGAAAAAGAATAGTTCATACCCCACGTGAAAAAAGCGGAAATTCTTCAAGTCTCAAGCATTCCTCGAGTCTTGGTTAGTTTATAAATTAAATTATTTTTAATAATTTGAATTATATCATTTATAACTTACAATTAGATGTACATGCAATGTACAAAATATTCTATTATATTTTTATATATTTATAATTATTTTCACTTCTTTTTTTTTTGTTTTTAAATTAAAAATTAATTATTTTTCTTTATCTTATATATGTATTTTTTTTTTTTCATATTCATATCTGTTTAAACATTTTTAAGTGTAATAGATTATTATTATTCTACTATATTTTATTAATATTTTAATTATAGATGTATTTATTCAGTGACTGGGGAAAAATATAAAAGTACAAACATTTGTAGATAGAAAACAACATTTAATTTTAAAAGTTTTGATATAATAATATCATTTTATTTATTTATTATATTTTTTCATCAGATTTCTTAAATACAGAATATGTAATTAAAAATTATTTAAAATATTTTTATAGACGAGGTGGACCTCCAATAAGCCTTAGTTCGACGCGTCTGAAACGCGGTTCCGTTCAAACCGGTGGATCCGGCGATGATTCAACGACTCAGGATGAAAGCATCGATGGTGAGGAAACTGTCAACTGAACAAGAAAACACAGCACTTATTGAATCCTCACAACACAGGAAATCCATAAACCCAGGTCCAAGAAGTGTGTACAAGATACGCTTCGACCAAAATTGAGTTCGAATCGGAGAACTCGTTTCTATGAGTTCAAAAGTCGATTCCAATGCACCCAACGATGCCATTAGATGAGGACGGCGGCTTTCTTCTGTACATAAAAAACCCGACAGGGCCGTACCAAGTAGTATTTTATTTCCGTTTTTTCGGAAATCTGCAAAAAATGACGAATTTTCTTTGGATAGCTTGAAACAAATAATCCTCTTATATTTTTTATAAAGAGCTTATTAAGATCTTTTATTATTAATAAGCAAAAAGAAGGTTGTACAAGTAAATTTGTATCAAATTTTTTTTAAGTTCAGCGTCCAAGATATACGCTTATAAAATATGTATAAGTTAATATGCGTTAACAATGCTTGAATGCCATACTCTGTACACGCTTTATATTAGACATTCTTTCAACTACTTTATTGTTTTAATATTTTTGTCATTTTTTGTGGAAAACGCTACTATTTAGTCGGGTAAGATTGAAACTAGAAATATATTATTGGGGCTGCATAATCGATAATGAATTAACATCGCATTTAGGCAGCATTATATCTATTATAATTATATTATATTAGTTATATTATTATTATTAATTATTATTAATTAATATTATTGATGCAGTTTTTATTTTTATCGCGAAAAATATCGTAATATATGTTATTTGTAATTATTTTTTAATAATCGAGTCAATGATGGACGATTTTGGTATTGTTCCGAACAGTATAAGAGTAATTTTCGAAAGACTAAAACTATTTTTGTTGATCAAAATGTTTAAAAGAAATTATTTTTTAAAAATATACTAATTAACATAAAATTAATTGAAACTATATTATATATATAAACTAAATTTAAAACTTCTGAGAAAATCGATATTATTTTTCAAAGAAGTTTATGAAAAAGTCAAAGCGAATCAAAATGATTGAATAAATGTTTAAGAAAAAACTTGATCGTATACTAAATTGAAGAAAAAAAAATATTATTTTTTTAAAAAAAAGTTTTATTTACGTTTTGTTCAAATTTCTTAGCAATTATTTTTTTCTGATTTTTTTTTTTTTTTAAATAATCATTGTATAAGCATTTCCTTTATTTTCGACCAAATAAACTCGCCTGTCGGAACGAACCAGAAATCAATGATTGAAATTTATCAATTGGGTACTTAGGGCCGATCGTAGATCAAGAACTTTTTCGTTTCGTATTATTCCATTTTAAGTGCATCGAAAAATCTATGAATGTTTCAAATCATTCTTTTATAATATGCATGAATATCAAATATAGTAAAAATAATTTTTTAAAATCTGTTTAAATGTTATTTAATATGCATGTTAATATTTTTCTAATTTTTCAAAAAAATACTTTAATTCCATTTATATTTTTAAATAGAAAAATTTTTCTAGCACATTTTTCGATGCATATGAAATTGAATTTTCGAAAATCATATAATGAAATTAAGAAAGAGAAATAGAAAAAGCAGCAATGTTTTTTATATGTGCATTTTTTATAACATATGCATTTTTCATGCATTAGAAAAAAATTTTTATTAACGAAACCTCTTTTTGCAAGATTTAAGCAAAAAAAGTGAAATTTATAATATAAAAATGAAAAATTTGTATAAAAAAAATTATTTTTCTTAAATGAAATACAAAAGATCATTATTTCTTAATATTTGCAATTAAATCAAAACGTATAGAATAAGTAATGTGCTTCTGCTTGTTTCTTCGAGATGTCAATCATTTTTTGATTAAATAAATGTTTTTAAAAATATAATTATTTGAAACAAAAAACAAAAGGAGGTTAATAACAATCATATATATTATGCATTTGTATATACATAGAAAATAATTTTTTTGTTATACAATCCAAATCGAGTGATAACACTATATGTCGGTATGTGTAATTTGGCAATCACTCGTTATTAAATATAAGAGAAAAATATTCAGATAATTATACAAATATGAATAAAATTATGGACGATACTAATTTTGGATTGTATGGAAAAAGAATTACTGTGTAATATACATATATAGAGTATTATAAAGAATGGGGCATTTAGTAAACAAATTTATATCGAAAATAATTTTTTTAATTCTACATAATCTTTTTTTTTCTATAAATTTATTTAATTCTTTAATCGTATTTAAAAATTGAGCGTACGCATCAAGAATTTACATAAATATGAATTTTTTTATATCAAAAGTACTTAATATAATGCATACTGCCAATTTTCATATTAAAAAAAAACTAGATAATTTTATAATAACGAACATTTAGAAATATAAATTAATTTTAATATAAAAATATTGTTTTCTAGATGCAACATACTTTATTGTACATTCTATATACTTATAAGGATTATTCTATTTTTTGATACGGCAAAGTGATTGTATCTGAACGAAACCGGCCTGTTTTTTACATTAACAGCTTTCTAGTGATTTTTTAAGCGGGCTTTCAAATTCACAATTGAACTGCCATCTCATACTATCGTGGATCATTTTCTCCACGTAAAAGTTATAATAAATTTGAAGACCTTTTGAATAAATTTAATAAACTTTATATATATATTTTCGACGGATTTACTTAATGACAAATAAATTATAATTTCATACATAAAAGGATTTAATGTAATGAATTATGTTTATCGAATAGAAAATATAAACGTCGACGAAACATTAGTAAAGTAAAACTTATTTTACTTGAAAATACATATATATGTATTTTTTTTAAAAAATACATATACATGTACCCGTTTTGGGTTTAAAAATATAGATGAAAGCATTGAACCTGAGGATTATTTATAAAGTATATAAAAAGTATATAAAACTTAAATCCGAAACGTTAAAAAGTCGACAACCATTTCCTCAAATGTATTTCTTTTCGATGGAAATTTGGATGATTGTAAAAAATATATTTTAATTGTGCAAAATCATTATTCGTATGATAATAATTATTTTTATCATAAATAATAAATAATGTAAAAAAATTAAAACTATATAATTCTATTGAAATAATATAATATACTCATAATAAACATTTTTAAGTTTTTTTATTTTTAATATTTAAGTTTGAAAGTTTTCATAATATTCTTTTATTAAAAAATTAAGCAATGTGTTTAAAATTTTGAATTTAAATATTTCGAAAAATTGATTTACTTTATTTTTATTTTAAATATAAACTTAATATCAAATTATTAAAACAATATTTTTTTAAATTTATAATAAATTATTTATCTAAAATGATAAAAACAAATTTATAAAAATAAATTAAAAATTCAAAATTTAATAACATATTTTTTATAAATCATCCAAAATTTCTCTGAAGGAAAGACAAGCCTAGATCATCTAATGTAATTTGTGAATCGCTGTGAATTTATGTAAATAAGCGCAGAAAATAATTTTCAACATGGTGCGTTTTATTTAAGCAATTAATACTAATAAAATTAATAACTTCGAAATTATAAGTATCATCACTGTTTAATACTATAAATTCCAATGGAATTGGAACAGATAAGTATAGAAAATTAAGTAAAAAGATAAAAAAAAAAAGGAAAGCGTTAAATGCGTAGGATTTGACCAGCAAAATAATAAACCTTTTTGATACATTTTATATAGATATAAATCCAATATTAACACTTAAATATGTTAAAACAAAAGCATAATAAATGCTGAAAATTAAGATTAATGGATAAATTGTTTTGGTTAATAATTTTCAATTAGTTTATTAATTTTAATATTTTTTAATAACCTTTTAATATTAGTGTAATATTAATTAATATATTATAATTTAAAACATTCACTACTTAGTAAAATATTTGTTATTCTTATTTAGAATATTTTTTTAAAATAACAAATATATAAGAAAAATTAAAGAAAATTTCATTATCTTTTATAAATAATAAGTTTTATTTTTTAAAGTACTTATATGCAATTTTAGAAATTCATTATAATAGCTAATTTTAATTTTTTGTGCAATAAAAGAAAATTGCAGAAATTGATACATTATAAAATCAACAATATGATAAAATATTTGTTTTATTTTAATATAATTTTACCAAACTATCAATATAATTGTAAAATGAAAAAAATGTTTAAATTTCATATTTAAATATAAATATTTTATAACATATTAAGATATTAACAAAAATTAATATTTCTTTTCAAATATTTTAAAATATTTGTACTGTACAGATAAAATATGAAATGATTTATGATGCTTATTGATTTTATATATTCAATATATTAATTAATATTTAAATTTATCTTTTGTCTATTGCAAATATAAAAAATTAAAAACATAATATAGAATATTATTTATAAATTTTTCTTATAAAAATTAGAAAAAATTTTTGTTTTTTATTTTTTCATAATTATTTTAATTTAAAAAAAGATATATACAAGATTTAATTATATATATATCTTATATATTATCTTTAATATAATAAAAAATTATTATCTTAAAGTTAAACAATTTTTATATTGTCATAAGTTAAATTAATTTTAAAAATAAAGATTAACTAGATATCACTGAGTCAATAATATCAATGTTTTTTTTTAATATTTAAGATGAATCTTCCTCTATTTCTTTCAGTTGTTGTGCCAATCTTGGAGTTGCTAAATCTAAAGGTGTTTTCTTTTGTTTATTCTTCAATGTTGTACTAGCACCATTCTGTACTAATAATTTTGCTTCATCAACACGATTTTCTTCACATGCCAAATGTAATGCACTATTTCCATCAGCATCTTTGCTATCTAAAAATAATTTTGAAATGTTTTTTAACTAAAATATTAAATTTTGTAATTAATGCAAATTACATAATTTATCTTTATTCTGAATTTAAAAAAAATAATTTATTTAAAAATAAAAACATAGATTCTAAAAATATTTAATATTTACATAAATATTTAATTTTTAAAATTGTTAGCAAAAATAAAATTTAATAAAATAACTACCAATGTCTAAATTTCGTCCGTATTCTATGAGAAGTTTTACAATAGCAATATTGCCTTTGGATGCAGCTCTATGTAATGGTGTAGCTCCACGATTATCAGTAATATTAACATTGGCATCTTTTTCTAGTAATGCAGCACAAATAGATTTCCAATTTTTTGATGCTGCATATTGCAATGCTGAATGACCTTCTTGTGTTTTGGCATTAACATATGCACCTTCAATTAATAAAGTATTAACAACTTTTTCACGACCAGCTGATGCTGCCAAAATTAATGGTGTCATATCTGTCTAAACAAAATTTAAATATTTAATTAATTTGATTACTAAAAGTGAATGTGAGACAATTTTTAAAATTTATATAGATATATTTACATTTTGTTTAATTTATAAATTTTAAAATTTATGCAGAAATTATACAAATAACACAAATAATTTTATATTAATTTATATAATTATTTACATAATTTATATTTATTATATATAATTTATATTATTTATTAAATTTTATATTAATTTATAATAATTTTTTATATAAATAAAATATTTATTAGTAATATTGAATAGTATAATCAAAAATGGAAGACATTCTGAAAATTAATATCTACAGAATTATAATATAATAAATACATTAATAGATTATACTTACATCATCAGTAGGATCTACTGGTACATCAAGAGATAATAAATATCTTACTAAATCATCATGTCCTCCTAGTGCTGCCCAATGTATTAACATTCGACCATTCTAAAAAAACAAATTTCATTAATAACATAACCTTAAAAAAATATTTCATATAAAATATTACTTACGTTATCTTTAGCTATTTTTAACTTTTCGTTTTCATTTAATAAATTCTTAACATCTGTAGTTTTACCACGATAAGCCATATCATAAATTGATTGTTCAGACATTTTTTATATTTTGTATTTAATTAGTTTTGTATATAGCAATATTTATGTTTGAAGTAAGTATCACATCGAAAGTCAATTTATAATTTAAATCAAAATAAAAATATGATAAAAAATATGCATAACTTATTCAAAATATAAGTTTTTTTTTGTTATCAATATATTCATTAAAATAATGCGAAAAAAATATTATTTCTATATATCTAAAATTATATATATATGTTTTTAAAATTTATATATATATATATATTTGTTTTTAATATTATGATTTTTTACAGTGCATTGATTTATAATGTAAAATTATATATTTCATTTTTAAAACGACAAAGAATATCGATTTTATCGAAATTATAAATAATAATATA